TGTCTTATTTGTATTTGTTTTAAGTACTAAAATATTTATGCAAAGTTTCAATCCATTTAGATAAACCCTCGAAGAAAAAAGTGAGAAAATTGATTTTGACTAGGGTCGCCCCTAGTCCAAAATTGAAAATGTATTTCCTACTTGGTTCTTTGCTCAAAAAAATTTTACGATGTTTTATTTGTATTTGTTTTAAGCATTAAAATATTTATGCAAAGTTTCAATCCATTTGGATAGACCCACGAAGAAAAAAGTGACAAAATTGATTTTAACTACGGTCGCCCCTAGTCCAAAATTGAAAATGTATTTCCTACTTGGTTCTTTGCTCAAAAAAATTTTAAGATGTTTTATTTGTATTTGTTTAATGCATTAGAATATTTATGCAAAGTTTCAATCCTGTTGGATAAACCCTCCAAGAAAAAAGTGACAAAATTGATCTTGACTAGGGTCGCCCCTAGTCCAAAATTGAAAATGTATTTCCTACTTGGTTTTTTGCTCAAAAAAATTTAAAGATATTTTATGTGTATTTGTTTTAAGCACTAAAATATTTATGCAAAGTTTCAATCCATTTGTATAAACCCTCGAAGAAAAAAGTGAGAAAATTGATTTTGAATAGGGTCGCCCCTAGTCCAAAATTGAAAATTTATTTCCTACTTGGTTTTTTGCTCAAAAAAATTTTAAGATGTTTTATTTGTATTTGTTTTAAGCACTTAAATATTTATGCAAAGTTTCAATCCATTTGGATAATCTCTCGAAGAAAAAAGTGACAAAATTGATTTTGACTACGGTCACCCCTAGTCCAAGATTGAAAATGTATTTTCTACTTGGTTTTTTGCTCAAAAAAACTTAAGAATGTCTTATTTGTATTTGTTTTAAGTACTAAAATATTTATGCAAAGTTTCAATCCATTTGGATAAACCCTCGAAGAAAAAAGTGAGAAAATTGATCTTGACTAGGGTCGCCCCTAGTCCAAAATTGAAAATGTATTTCCTACTTGGTTCTTTGCTCAAAAAAATTTTACGATGTTTTATTTGTATTTGTTTTAAGCACTAGAATATTTATGCAAAGTTTCAATCCATTTGGATAAACCCACGAAGAAAAAAGTGACAAAATTGATTTTAACTACGGTCGCCCCTAGTCCAAAATTGAAAATGTATTTCCTACTTGGTTCTTTGCTCAAAAAAATTTTAAGATGTTTTATTTGTATTTGTTTAATGCATTAGAATATTTATGCAAAGTTTCAATCCTGTTGGATAAACCCTCGAAGAAAAAAGTGACAAAATTGATCTTGACTAGGGTCGCCCCTAGTCCAAAATTGAAAATGTATTTCCTACTTGGTTCTTTGCTCAAAAAAATTTTAGGATATGGGCGATTCTACGAATGATATTTTCTACAAATTTGTCTCCATATCTATGTTTCTCTTTATCTGCTGCATTACTCCCTACGTTTCATGTATTTAATAGTAGATTTTACCGTGATCTACGTATTGTTCTAACCCAAACATATTAAAAATGGTTAATCAAAGAATTATTTACATTCTACGAAAAATTACTCTGTTTCACACCCTATACTAGTTAGCATCAATTTACAGCTGTAATTAAATTACAGCTGTAAATTACAGATGACGTAAGTCAAGCTTTACGTATTTTGTAAAATTAAAGTACAGCTGTAATTTACAGACACACCATACAGCTGTAAATACAGACACCATAATATTATTAAAAACAATTTTTTTCAACAAACGTATCTGTAAATACAGACCAAATATACAGCTTTATTTACAGATAAAAATTTATAGATTTGTTAATTTCATGACTCTATTGCCAATAACAGCTCTGAAATAGTTCAGAACATTCAAAAACAACCAGAACCAGTCATTGATGAACTTTCAGATCCAAATCAGAGCAATTATCAACAACAAAATCCGTCAATCATTGAAGATTCTGAAAATCATCAGAACATCCAGCAATTTCAGGACTCTATTGCCAATAACAGCTCTGAAATAGTTCAGAACATTCAACAACAACCAGCACCAGTCATTGATGAACTTTCAGAACCAAATCAGAGCAATTATCAAAAACAAAATCCGTCAATCATTGAAGATTCTGAAAATCATCAGAACATCCAGCAATTTCAGGACTCTATTGCCAATAACAGCTCTGAAATAGTTCAGAACATTCAACAACAACCAGAACAAGTTTATTCTTCAGGTTCTGAAAAACCTTCCAAGTAGCTTAAGTCCAAAAAATTAAAATTAGATAAAAATAGTGTAACGTCAGTTGTTGTTAAAGAAAATTTGCAACCTTACAAGAGCAAGCTCCGTAAGAATATTAAGAAGAAAACATATTAATTACCTAACTTTTACATATCACATTTTTTTTTAAGCCTAACAATGAAACAAGATTTTGTAGTCAAATATTTTTTTGTGATTAAAGAAAAAGTAAACTAAACACATAATTAGTAAAATTTGTCTTTATTAGCTTCATGAAATTAACAAATCTATAAATTTTTATCTGTAAATATAGCTATATATTTGGTCTGTATTTACAGATACGTTTGTTGAAAAAAATTGTTTTTAATAATATTATGGTGTCTGTATTTACAGCTGTATGGTGTGTCTGTAAATTACAGCTGTACTTTAATTTTACAAAATACGTAAAGCTTGACTTACGTCATCTGTAATTTACAGCTGTAATTTAATTACAGCAGTACAAACAAAAATTTTTAAAATTTTCTATTTTCAAGTTTTCATTTAAATATCGACAGATGCAACAACATTTGACTTTAGTCAGTTACTTTAAATTATAGCAAAGCATTTGCAATACTCCTGTATCAACAAAACTAAACAGAAAGTTGAAAATTTTGCAAAACAAAAATTGAAAATTTTCTTTTATAGTGTTAGTGTTTTTAGAAAATTCAAATTTTTGACGTTTAAAAACTGCGATATTTTTGTATGAGCACATCTATATATCTTGGTAAAAGCTTCAAAACGATGTCAAAATCATATTTGTGTAAGCCTTAATTAAGCTGCAATTTGGATTCTTCGAAAAATTTCATAATTGAAACAGAGTAACTTGGAGACAATTCCAAAAAAAAACTACAAAATATTAAAATTAAAACCATGAATTTCTCAAGCCATAGCTAAGTAATTTGAGTGCAGATGTAATCATAATTCACAGTTTAACCAATAGAAAAGGAAATGAGAATTAGATTTTTGAAAAACTGCACAAGTGAAAATAAAATAATTAAAAAATTCATGCAATTGACTCCGTGTCAAGAAAGTGTATTTTCATGAAACCTTTTCGTAGAATTGCCCATAATTAAGATATTTGAGAGTTTAATTTTTGGTGTTTTGTAAGATAGTGTTGGTGAATTTCAAATTTAATTTTTCCGTTGAGCAATAATCCTACAAAAATCGTCGATCCCCAAATGACTTTGGATTATAAACGCTCTTTTTTAAAACTCAACTCATCTGGAGAATTGCCAACATACATTTATTTTTGTACCTTTGTAAAAATATAATGTTTCATGTAATAATCGGTTATACTTTCTCATACAAAAGCACTTGCACCTTACGTCGAACATACAAAGAGCATGCTCAGAAAAGTGAGCATATAAGTGAGTCTACTCAAAAATTATACTCATGCAAGCTCATTCAACTGAGCATGCTCAGGAGTTCATTACGAATGTACTCACTTTATTTTTTTACAAAAAAAAAATATAAGCTCACGTGAGTACATTCAACGAGTGTACTCATGAGAATATTAAGAACATACTTATGTGAATTTACTCATATGAGTTCACTTACTGAATATACTCATGAGCATATAATGAGTAAACTCACTTCTGTGTCACACAATTTCACTTACTGAGTTTATTCAAGAGCAAATTGTGTACCTTTTTTAAAAAAATGTCAGCTTAATCGAAAACCTTAAAATAATGATTTTTTAAGGAAGCTGACGTTTTTTAAAAAATGTCAGCTAACTCGAAAACGTTAAATTTGGTGCTCAATAAGATCCAAACTTCAAAGAACTTAGTTCGCCTGTAAAAATATAATAATTTAAGTATGTAAATTATTATATATTTACAGATAATAGCTCCAAGGAAAAGTGTGAGATGACAGAAGTTAAGCAACGCAGAAGATATTTCAACAAGGATGGGTGACCAGATTTATATGTTTCATTCTAAGTATTTGAGATAAAATATTAATAATTTCTAACTCTTTCAAAATTATTCACAGAAATAAACGGAACAGTACTTAATTTCAGCTAACCTATAATACTCAAATTTAGCTTAATTAATTTTTTGAATTTTGCAACTTCACTTGAGTGTACTCATGAGTGGGCTCAGATGAGCATATACTCATAAATATACTCACTAAGTATATATTCTTTGTTTATGAGTATGTACTCTTTGAGAATATTTATAAGTATGTACTTTTTGAGAATGTTCATGAGTATATTCAATAAAAATGTTACATGAGAAAAATGTTGCATGTGAGATGTTACCTTCTCATTTGAGTATGCTCATGAGTTTACTCAATGAGCTTAATACATGTCACATAGGAATGTGCTCACTGAGCATGCTCAAGAAGGTACCGTAAGCGCATCACTGAAACGTATGAAAATGAGCACATTCTCACAAAGGCTAATAGGCTCACAAATAATGTGCTCTGAGCATGCTCATTGTATGTTCGGATACTGCATGCATTTAATGGCTATACAGCAAATCTATAGCCCAATATCTACCAGATGAATAACCAGGCAGATATTTTTAATACATAGGTAATTCCGGGCTCAGATTTTTTAACTATTGATACTTTGGGTTAATTCCGTAAGTTTCAATCAGTAAATAAAGTATTTGACCAAATTGAGAACAAGGTGTGAATATAAAAATTGTTATCTGGAGTTTTATGGACAACTTTGAAAGTTTCATCATCTAAGTTACTCAAAAAAGTTTGATAAGCTTTAATTAAATAACTGTTAAAGGGAGTTGATAGCTGTCATTGCTTCATAGTTCAGAAAATGTCGAAAAATATTGTGATAGCTCAAAATTCAAAAATCTCATTTTACACGGATCGACACAAACAATTACTGAATAAATTTGTTAAAAACAATTATTTAATATTTAAACGTCATTTCTTCACTTTTGTGAGTAAAATGAATTTAGAGTTGTTGGGTAAGATATCAGACATTTGAGAAATACATGGAGACAGACTAATCGAGTATTAAATATAATGTTTTAAATATTACTTTTTAGAATCTTTCTGCCAAAATTTTCCTGAAGAGTATGACGGCTCACTGGATTGTATATCTTTAGCGGTTACTTGCTGCTTTAATAAATACGGAACATTGCTTGCTGTTGGTTGTAATGATGGTCGAATAGTGATATGGGATTGCTTAACAAGAGGTATAGCTAAGATCATTTCTGCTCATGTTCATCCAATTTGCTCGCTTAGTTGGTCCAGAAATGGTCATAAACTATTATCAGCATCAACTGATAATAATGCTTGCATTTGGGATGTTTTGAATGGCGATTGTGAGAACAAATATCGTTTTCCATCACCAATATTAAAGGTACAGTTTCATCCAAGGAATGATTCGAAATTTTTGGTTTGTCCAATGCGATATGCTGCAATTCTTGTGGAAGTCGGAGGAAAACATAAAGTTTTACCCATTGACAGCGATGGTGACTTAAATATTGTTGCAACATTTGATAGACGAGGAGAACACATTTATACTGGAAATGCAAAAGGAAAAATTCTAGTGATGAATACTGATACATTTGAAATAATAGCAAGTTTTAAAATTACTGTTGGAACTTCTAGTGCTACCGCCGTTAAAAGTATAGAATTCGCAAGACGAAGTAATTCATTTCTAGTGAACACAGCAGATCGTGTCATACGTGTTTACGACTCAAAAGATGTTATAGCATGCAAAAAGGATGGTGATCCAGAACCAATTCAAAAACTTCAAGATCTTGTTAATAAAACTACTTGGAAAAAATGTTGCTTTTCTGGTGATGGTGAGTATATTTGTGCAGGCTCAGCTCGACAGCATGCACTTTATATTTGGGAAAAATCTGTGGGAAATCTCGTAAAGATTTTACACGGAACAAAAGGAGAATTGCTTCTTGACGTTGAGTGGCATCCAGTGAGGCCAATAATAGCTAGTATTAGTTCTGGACTAGTTTCAATATGGGCTCAGAATCAAGTGGAAAATTGGTCTGCATTTGCGCCAGACTTTAAAGAATTGGACGAAAATGTAGAGTATGAAGAAAGAGAGTCTGAATTTGATATTTATGATGAAGATAAATCAGTAGATTTAGCAGCTGAAAATAAAACTGAAGAAGATCTTGAGGTTGATGTTGTAACAACAGAACCAATAGCAGCATTTTGTAGCTCTGATGAAGAAGCAGAAGATAGTAATGCATTACAATTTTTACCAATGGCACCGGAAGTTGAAGAGCCCGAAGAAGGTTGGTGTAGTCAAGATGGTGCTGATGCACTTGCCGAGCCGGAACAGCTGTCTAATTCAAGAGATTTTGATTCCATGGAAGGATCGAGTGCAAAGAAACGAAAAATGAGCTCGTACGATATTGAACTCGAAAATGCACCGCCTGACGAAATTCATCCACTTTTACAAAATAAAACAATGAAAGAGAAACAAAATACAAATATGAAAGCAAAAGGTCGACCACGTAAATGAGATGTATAAGTTCTTTTTCCCTATGACATTTAATGATAAGTTAATAAGTAATACATAAAAAAATAAAATCTTTTTCATAAATTTTATTGAAATCTTTTATATTCCAGTTTCAATTGCTTATTTGCAGTTTATTGATAATATCTGATGACTTTTAATACCTTACATTCTATGATTAATAACGATTGAGAAAAAAAAAGGTAGTGGAAACCTATTACGTTAAGAAGTAATAATAATAAAAAAAAAAAAAAATAGATAACATAGATATATAGTTGAGAGGAATGTAGAGTAAAGGTACAGAAGAGAAATAAGTACTTATCATGCTGGCTTTTACAGAAATTATAATTTACAATAGGCATGAAACAGTTTCTCACTATCTTTTATTTTTTTTAACATAAAACATAATTGAGACATTCCTCAATTTATTTAGATAATGGTGGTATGTATGCACTTTCAGATAAATATCAAATTTTGCTTCCTAATTCTTGTCAAACTCAATTTTTGCAAACTCTTTGATGTCGTTTGATAAAAATAGCAAGAGGAATCGTTGACTGAGTTGATCTTGTTTATGACGGCACAGAGCAGGTGCAAAAATTTTTGCTGTGAATAAAGTTATGAATGTCATTAATTAAGTTAATTGTATAAATCAATCAAATTACAGCCCACACATTTATGTTAAAATTAGAAGGCATCATGCATATAATCATACCTATAGACCTGTCATCCATTCCGTTGGTCATATAGTTTCTTTGAATCTCTTTCAGAAACATTATTAGGTATAGAAATATTTTTCTATTCAATAGAGGTATTTTATTTTGAACCAATTCGCGACATCTCTCAAAGTTAGGTAGATAGATGGAAAGCTCTCTTTCAGTAATTGTCACTAATGGCTCAGGTGATGATTCGAAAATTTTTAATAAAACTTCTGCAGCTGTTTGTGGAGTTCCAGGAAATGGTTCAACAGACCACGTATCTAGCCAATCTCGAATCGCACAAATTCTTGGACTTAAACGATGTTTTCTTAAAACATGAAAAAGATGGGGGATGTTTAGGCCATTACGATACAAGTAATCAATCATTAAATAAATTTCACGTGGACCCTTTGCACTGTTGTAAAATGGTATTAAATTGTTTACGTCACATTCAATCTCATTGAGCTCTTTCAATGAATACTCTAATACAGGCTTATTTAATTTCATTAAAGTGTCTAGTCTCAGACCAAATACACTTGGCTGATATTCTCCAAAAATTGTTATAAATATATCTCGTCCATTTTCAATGTGTAACACGAGAATATCGAGTGGACCTTTTACACCAGTTTTTGCATCGCACAGTTTTTTCATTATCTCCGGTGCTGCAATTTCATCTATGAAAATATCAATGCGAATACTTAACGAATTTCCTGTCAGCAATTCACCTTTCGGATGTGAAATTTTAATCCAATCTTCACAAACTTTCTCTCGTTCATTGCGTTGATTGTCGGAAGATTTTGGAAGGAACTTAAAATGAGCTGGGAGGTGACAATTATTTGCAACCAACAATTCACGACTATAATGCTCGTGATATTGTATGATGCCAAAATCTAAATCTGTTTCGGCTACAACCAATTGTGGCTGATTATCATTCTCAAATTTATCGACAGTTTTAAGAACTTCTTCGTGAATTTTCTTAAACTTTTGTTCATCTCGTGTTAAAATATAGGAAATAAAGACTCCATAAACTGGCTTATGATCACTCATTCTTAATTGCATTATGCTATTGTAAGCCAACTGTTCAATTCTTGAGCCCTTCCAAAAGATTCTATCGCACCAGGCTGGAGCACGAGATTTTTCACTCGAATCCCATTCATCTGTTCCTGGATCGTATTTGTATGTTGCTTTAAAAGTAATCTTTCCTTCCTGAAAATCCCTAAAAACTCTTTTTTTCTGCTTTTCAATATGCAACTGATCAAAATAGAACCATTTGTCATAACTACAAAACATTTTAATTTGGTCATCATCTGCGATTGTTATTCGATAGTTGAGATCGCCAATCCAAAAGATTTGATCATGCTCAAGAATATTTCGGCTTTTAAATCCATCATTAAATTGCATTCGTCTTAATATTTCGTCATGGTCTAAACAAATTTCATTATTTCTGCACTATTTTCAATTTGAAAGCAATTATAAATTAACATAATACATACCTTCGTTTCTTCGTTCAAATTCTTGAACATGAGCAGCTAAATGGGAATTGACAAAGCATAAACATGTTTCGTTTAGTTGAAAACTTGCTCCAACTCCTCCCTTATTGCCAAATTTTAAAGTTCCTGTGCCCACCATAGATGTACAAATTTTAGAAATTGAAGATCGAATTGACTTCTTGACCAAAATTGTCAACATCATTCCAACAAGTCTAACAGTTACTAGTTCTTCGTATATATCCGATGGATGTGCTCCTTCCAATATTTTTGCAATCCAGTTATAATCAGGACGTGTTTCACTCTTAATAATTGTTTCAGCAGACATATCGATTTCTTGTAAACCGATACAATAGATATCCGGTGCATCATTTGTAGTAAATAAAAGCTCTCTTAAGCTTAAATCTTCGACAGGTTGATTAAGATTCACATTCCATGTTGCACAATAAACTTTATATGGCTCATACATTGTATACTCAGGTTTTCTCCGCTCCAATTCCTCACGAAACTTGGACTCGCGATTTTTGGGTGGAAATTTATTACTTGCAATGTTATAATCAATCTCTGTGAAATCGGAGCTTTTGTAAGCTTGCAACCATGAAAAGTCTCCATTTTCTTCTGTATATTCTAAGGATGAACAAAAGCAAAAGTTTAGATAATTTAATAGCGGCATGTAATATGAATATTCTAATGAGTAATATGTACCTTGAATTAATCTTTTCAATATTTTCTCAAAAACTTCTTTGCTTCTTAACGTTTCTTCATCTGGATAGTAATAGTACGTCAAATTCTCATTTCCGCTCATTATTTGAAATTGATGTGATGAAACTCCATATCCAGCAGTCGAATTGTCAATCAAAAATGTTTCATTTATTGGAAGAACTGAAGTAATATGTAGATCCGATAGATTAATTGGTGGGTAATTATAACAATCAAATGAGAAGAGAGCTGATGAACTGCCTGATTTTACAACAGCTAAAATACGATTTTGATGTTCTGCTCCAACAATCTGGTATGCTTCTAAAATCTGTAGAAAGAATTTATAAAAAGAAAATAGGATTATTAAACTATTGAGATAATAATAAAAAAAAAAAAAAAAATTTTATCCTTACAGCCACAACAACTTCACCCTGTCGAAACTTCTTTTCCACAGTTAAGAAAGTGGCATGCTTTATATTATCACTCATGATTCTTTAATAACTTATCATTCTTTGAGTCTATTTAATTAAATTTGTAGAAAGAAACAAACTATATTATTAGAGGGGAACGTCATCAACAACAGACAGACATACATGCCCCATAAAGTGAATGAGTAGACATTCTGTAAAGGAAGCTGCTTTTAAGCGTAAAAAAAATTGTAAACATAAAAATGCTGTGCTCAAAAATTAATTTACTTTGTAAGTTGAATCAAATTAATTATGTTTAAAACTATTATTAATTACTTATACCTATTACGTTCTATTGTTATTACAGCAAATTTAGCAACAACTCGGTTTGTTCCTGTCGCTTTTTTGAAAAATTTTCCATCTCCTCCAAAATATGACCGTAATTTTGAATAACTAGCACTATCACTCCTTAATATTAATTAATAACATTTTCTACAGATGTCGAATTCGTTGAAAGACCTAAACTACGTTTTTTTGAAAAGGTGCCGCAGTACGTAGCGAACTTAAAGCCACCAAAAATGCAAAAAGTAAATTATTCAATATCAATGAAATTGTAAATTAGATTATGATGTTTTTAACAGCTAGTAGTATGCTAGTAGCTTAATAGAGTTAAAAAGTGAATTTTTTTGGCTCACTAGCATCACTAGTAGCTTGTTAAAAAAGTTTAACTGCAAAGAAAATATTCAATTTTTTCAAGTTAATTAAAGGAATTTCCCTTTTCTCTTGATTATGTTTCACTTACAATGTTCTTTTACATCGTATTTTATATGTTAATTCAGAAAATGATTATATTTTTGTTAGAAGCCATGCTTTCCCGAGTCTGTCTCGTCCCGATCTAGAGACCTATAATTATACTAGATTTTATTCAAGACTTTCTGGGAAGTTTGTAGAAGACTGAGAAATCGAGAAAGCATACTGGTAGCTTAGTAAAGATTCCTTAAAAAATTTTGAGTTCAATATAACTCTCCAAAGCTAGTAGCTTAGTATCGAGTATCGAGAAAAAAATACAGGGTAACTAATATTTTAAATGACACTTTTAGAGATTAAGATATATGAGAGGTCCAGAAGAGGTTCACAATTTTCTTTTGCACGAGCAATATGGAATTCAAGCTATTGGTGGTGGACGTATGCGATGGGGTCATTTTGAGATGCTTCGACTTAGCATTGGTCGCAAAATGGATACAAATAAAATGTTTGCAATATGGAGAATAGATGCTCCTTGGCAGCCAGGTAAAAATCCTTAATATAATTAAATCATAATATATCAATTTGTTAAAAATTACATTATAGTAACGAGAAGAGGACAAGGTCAGCGTTTGGGTGGTGGAAAAGGAGCAATCGATCATTATGCAACTCCTATTAAAAAAGGAAGAATAATTGTTGAGCTGGGCGGAAAATGTGAATTCGAAGAAGTAGAAGAATTTCTTCAAAAATATGCCAATCAACTACCGTTTCCAGCTAGAGCAGTTTCCCATGAAATGCTTCAAAATGAAAAGAATCAAATCGATGAACTTGAAAGAGCAAACATCAATCCTTACACTTTAAAATATGTTATTCAGAATAATTTGGGAGGGTGCCATAAATGGCTTAGACCAATTGATCATAAACAGTTTGGAAAATTTGAGTAATTTAACTCAGAAGCTCAGAAATAAATTTAATAGTCATAAAAAATTCTATTTATTGTATAAAATCATCAACTTTATTGCTCATTATATGCTTATTGTATGCACGAGACCTGGTTTTCTTCAATTCAGCAATTTTTTTGTTATATTTGTGTCGCTTTTTTGACATATCAACATTTTCAACAAACGACTTCATTACATCCTTTAGTTCATTATATATTTTTTCGAAACTGATTTTCTCATTTTCAATATCAATTTTTTTACACAATTTTTTTAAAAATGTCTGCTTTTTGTATTTTCTAATCATTTTACAGATTTTGGGTGATGTCTGCAAAAAACATGAACTATTATACATAATATTGATGATATAGTGATCTGAGATTTTTTCATTTCTATCGATTTTGTAGCTTACATTATTATTATTTATTATTACATGATCTATGATCGACGAGGCATTTAAATTTTTTTTATTTGGCCTTGTTGGATCTTTGACAATTTGTCTAAAACCATGTTCACTTAATAAATTATAATATTTTTTAGCTGATACAGTTTTTGTCGCAACATTCAAGTTTATGTCACCTACTATAATATTATTGCAGTTGTAATTTAAGTGTTCATTAATGTACTCATCCAATATTTCAAAAAATTCATTGCTTTTTTCTTTTGGTGATTTATAAATTACCGTAATATCTACAACTTTTTCTAATAATATTCTGATTGTCAATAGCCACGTTCTGCTTTTAAATTTAGCGCTAATTATTGAATATTTAAAGTCTTTTTTAATAAAAAATGCAACCCCACCAGTGTGAGTCGAATCTGAATCACATCTTATCAGTTCATATCCTTCAATATCAATTTCCCTATTTATTACATCTATTGTAGTATGAGTTTCCGATAACGCAATTAAAAACGGTGTATAATTTTTACAATAATCCCGAAATAGTTCTAAATTATTTCTCAGACCTTGAGCATTTGTGTACATTATCGGAAATTCATCTTGCTATTTAACCATTGACATAAGATAGTTATATTTTCTCAAATAACATGGGCACTCAAAATCATTCATACTATGATTAATGTCAAACTTTTTTCCCGATTTAATTTCTTCATTTGCCCTTTTACAATTTATACACGATGGTTTATTTTCCTTACAATCTTTCACATGATGGTCCTCTCCGCAGTTGAAACATGTTTTCACAAGACTCTTGCAGTCCTTCTTCACATGGTTGAAGGAGAAACAGTTGAAGCACTTTCCAACGATGAATCCATCAACAATTCTTGGTTCTTGATACCGGTATTTAATCCTTCCCTTACTCATTGCAAGATCATATGATTTTTCATCAACTTCCACAATAAAGTGAATTTTTGTGTCAACTTGTTTGCCACTAATGCGAGCTTTCATAAATTTTATGACCTTACAAGTTTTTGCTTGGTCAAGATATATATTTTCTTGTTTGACAACTTCTTCAATTGATTCATTCAACAAGTCATCAAAATTTGACCAAATTTCAACATTCAGCACTTTAAATCTACGATTTTTTTTATCTGGCACAGTTATTTCACAAATATTTCCATATTTCTTTTTTGCGACCTCAGCGAATTTTTGCTGCTCATTTTCGTTCTCACAAACTGCTATCAACTTGTCGTCACCAGCATTTATAATTTTTGCAACATTAACTTCATTTGGGACATAATTTTTTAACATTTCTTCTTTTAAAGTGCCAACATTGTTCTGTGGATTTGTTTTTAACACCACAGAAAAAAGTGGCCGATTTTTTTTCTTGTTTGTAACTGTTTTCCATTCTTCATCCTGGTATTTTTTGGCAATAAAATTTATTTTATCAACTTTTGATTCAATTGTTTTTGATCTTTCATTACAGTCCGTGACTTTGCTAGTGTAAAATGCGTTATTTACACAGAATTCTCCAATACTTTTCTCAATTTTCTGTTGTTCTTCCGGCAACAAATCGACCTTTCCATTGATTACGGTAAGCTTGTCACTTATTCCAATGAGAGATTTTTCCACGTTTTCATGATTCAACTCTAATTTTTCAACTTTGGCTGCTGTGGTCAAAACTTTACCAAATGTCAAGCTGTGATTATTACACACACTGTCAATGAGGGATTTAACCAGCTCTTTTGTTCTCACTATTAGGTGAATTTCCTTTTTACAAAACTCACAAACAAATTTCCAGTCCTCTCTATTTTTAATACTCATCATGAACTTTTGCCAATGCTCAAATTCTTCAATTCCTGCACATTGTGGATGATAACATCCCTGGCAGTGGATACATTTCACAATCAAGTCATTTAGCGGAAACACTTCTTTTCTTTTACACACATCATTTGAACAATACGGTTGTTTATTCACTTGCATTTCGCTTACACATATAACAGATATGTCAAGTCTGCTGTTTTCCTCCTCCGACTCACTCATTTTGTAATTAAACCTCACTTGCTTACTCTTCAAAAAACTTTTAATTTATTTAATTGGATAATTATTTCTTTTTGCGACCGTACTGTGTGACAGTACGATAAAGACAAATTGAAAACTAAACTCGCAAAAATTCCTAAAAAGCATTCCTTTTTTTGAGATTCCCGAATTGTCGTAGAGAACATAAACCAACACATGTAGAAAGGTATCTTTAAAAAAAATTGATAAGACTTATCTGATTTTTATACAAGCAAAATGAATGTAAAAGTGCAAATGATAAAACAGTTGATTTAAGGTGGGTAATTTACAAAATTATTAATTGATGAGGTAATTTTTTATATGAATTTAAATAATAGCGTTATGGTTTTGATAAAAAAAAAACTTATAACTTTGAATTGAAAGATTTTGTTACATACACGCCCAAGTTTCGTAAAACTACCTTTCCATATCAAAATTAACATGAACATTATTTTTTTAGAATGGGAAATTTAAGAAAAATTATAATTTTCTTTTTCTTGACGATTCTATTAATTGAGCTAATTGAATGCGTTCCAGCAGTTAATGAAGAAGAATCGATCATCATTGCAGTAAATAGTTGTGAACATGAAGAGCTTTTAACCTGCACAAATGATGATGATGATGAATGTGAAAAAATTAATAATGAACGCAATTTAAAAAGACAAAAAATTTGTGAAACAAGTCCACAATGCACGTTTTGTAATTTTGATACACAGCCTGAAATTTCAGCTTTAAATGAAACAGATTTATTTATTGAACCAGAAATTGTCCCAACGCTGAGTCCACTATCTGAAATGTCAGCTGAAAAGAATAAACCAATAAACGAAATAATCACAATCGATGCGGACATTTCTACAGTTACTGAAAATCAGTCGATCAATAGGAATGATAAGGAACCTGCGAAATTGATAGAGAGAAATATTGTTATCGCAAATGATAATGAAACGCATTATTATCGAGGATATGTAGATCCATCGTCAAATATCACTACCATAATACGCTTGACAAACTTAATAAATAACACAAATGTTATCAACATGCCGACTACATTAAATAATACCAATATAAATAACATTCACATATACAGTAATAAAACTTCAAACAATGGTGGAAAATTTGGATTGGGATATACGGAAGAGGGTGCTTGTTGCTGGACAACCAAACCAGGAACTCGATGTAAGAAAACCACCGTTGGTCCAAAATGTGAACATAAAAAAGTAAAAGTCTGTGGAAAACAGTGTACTAAAAAGATGATCCATCAAAAAAATCCATGCAATAATATACCTCAATGGCCTTATATTATTTGTCCACAACAAATGAATTCAGGCTTACCACAATATTATCCACAATTCTCTCCTCCCACATATCCCCAATTTGACGATGAATTCGATGACGATGATGATTTACCATTATTTCCAGAGGATGAAGAACTACTGAAAGCAGAATCAGGATGGGTCGTAATGCAAGAAAAGTGTAAAATTGTTAGTGAAGATGGCTTACACATTTCAAACTGCACAGAAAATAATATTGAATTTGAACATCCATATGCAAGAAACTCAATTGGTGATCAGCAAAAAAGAAGTGCTCGTCATGCAGGAAAATTTCCACAAAATATGCCAACACAAAATTCTTTCATGCCTCCTCAATTTTATGGATACCCAATAATGCAACCTCTTTACTTCCAGCCAATCCCAATTTATATACCTCAATACTATCCACCACAGCCATTATTGAACAATTATCCTCAACAAATTCCATTCCCACCACTAGATTCTGATCAGTACTATGAAGAACCAATCATTCAACAAAAAGCTATTAATCCTTATAAAAAATCAAGAAAGCATGCAAGAAAACATCCAATTGTAGTCGAGCATGATGAAGAATTATAAAACTTGTGTTATTAATCGCAATAACTTCAAAAAATATATAAAAATTATAGCTACATATTTATTGCCACACATTAGCACACATGATTTAAAAGTGTTCATTTATTTATTATGTACATAAATACTATAGAATTATTTATAAATTATGAGAATGTTTAAATCAAAAAATTACTTCATTTAGAAATTACTCATCGCACATCTATAAACATTTAGCATTAGACTGAGAATAAACGTGATTTTGGCATCAAAAAATAAATAAGGAAATTTTGTTAAATTCTCAAACATTTAAAATAAATCTCATTTTTGAAATGACCCCTGACGCATGCTGATATGATTTAAATTTCTTAAAATAATTGCACATGAAATATCAGTTTTGTGAGAATTTTCAACTAATACGGACCGAAAAAAATAAATATGAAACTACGGATACTTATTATTCTAGTATCATTCAAGTGTATGTTAGCGCAAGATGTCAAAGTGCCTGAAGATCTTTTAAAACCAAAAACTACAACACTAGGGTATGAACATGAAACAATTCAGTTTACTGATATTGAAATAAATACTGAAATTACAACGACAACCACAAACGATTTTGTTGAAGACACTACAATAGGTTCGTTAGATCATAATCCAAACAATCCAAAATCAGACAAACTTACTGATAATAAACTTCCACTTTATGTCTATCCACAATATCCGAATTTATATCCAAACTATTTGCAAAATCTTCAATACGAAACACCAAACTGTAATCAAAATCCACCATCATATCCAGTTGTAATACCACCAATTTATGATTCGAAAACTGTTGAGCCAGATATTGAAGAAAATATAGAATGTCCAATTGATTTTATTAAAAGCGAATCAACTTGTATTCCGCTCCATTCTAATAACTGTCCATTCAATTATATTTGGAAAAACGATAGATGTGTCTTATCACAAACTGTATGCCCGCTGAACTTTGAATATGATGGTACGTCATGTGTGGAGCGACAAGTTTGTCCTCCAAATCATGCTTGGAAGAATGGAAAATGCGTATTACCAGAACCAACATGTCCTATTGGTTGGCAGTGGAATGGAAATACATGTGAAATAATAAACATTCAGTGTCAACCTGGATTTATTTTGAAAGGCAAAGAATGCGTTCTTGAAAAAATCACATGTCCAAATGGCTTCAATTTAGTTAATGAACAATGTGTTACACCTCCTCCTGTTTGTATGCCAGGTTATGAGCTTCAAGAGACAGGGTTTTGCTTACAAATCAATAAAAAGTGTCCTCCGGGAACAGTAATGATTAATGAAAAGTGTCAAGAGACAACAGTAAGCTGCTTACCAGGATATGAAAAAATTGGAAATCAATGTTATAAAATATTAGAAATTCCTACAATACCTCCTCCTTCCTTAGAAATTGCCACCACAACTAAACGAGCTATTATTACTCATCCAATTGATACACCATCCGAATTAACAACAGAATCTATTATTCCAGACATTCCTCCACCACCATTGACCAAAATTTGTCCCGATGATTTTATCTTTCATAATAGTCAGTGCTACAGATGTCCATCAGGTTATTCATTATGCAATGGAATGTGCTTAAGAAATGTTGCTCCATGTCGTCCGAATTATTCGACGATCCCCATGCCAATGCCACCAAACTTTTATCCAAATATTCAAATACCTAACATTAATATTCATTTAAATATTCCCAGTCATGACATCCCAAAACTTTCACCTCGACGTTCTGATAAAGAACCTATCAATGTTATAAATCATATTGAGCCCATTAATAATACAATTTACAATATCAATAATATAACACATCCTGTAACTTTAAATAATGTCAATGAGAACAACATTTTCGTATACACCGATACTCAGTGTGCAGATGGAAAAATTCGTACAACAATAATCAAAAATAATCAGACCATAATGGGATGCAATGATAGTGATAGTAGTTTGAAGCTTGAAAATTCACCAGAAAAAACCACAACAGAAGAGTCGGATGTTCGAGAAGAGGAAATTACTAAATCACAAAAGTGCTGTGAGGTTGTAACACCTAGGTACCTAGCATGTTCTACATAATATAATAATCCTTATGGCATTTGATTATTAACGATTGAAATTCGATTTTAGACGTTGCAAGAAAAGATTCACAAATCAATGGATGTGTACTCATAGAAGATACAAACATTGCGGCGAAATTTGCATAGCTAATCGTCTTTATATTAAACCTCCTGCAACAGTTTGGTCTAACCAAATCTTGACGATTGCACCATCTCCAATTCAAACTTATATTAAACCCTGCTTTGGTCATGATTGTCCTAGTGTTGGTAAGTACAAAAAAAATCTTAAGTTTAATAATTTGAAACAGAGCTAATCGAGAATCGTGAATTTAAAATAAAGATTGCACTGGATGTATCGATGGAAGCTTTAATTGCTCACCGCAATGCTATACATATCCATGCTATGGAGATGGATGTACTTATATTGACCAAAATCAATTCTGTGAAAATTATAGCGATAAAGAATTCTGCGATTAAACTTAAAAAAAAAATATGTCCCGTTAGCATTAAAATAAAAGGTAAATTTTTCAAAAATATATAGTCATACTTTATTGACTCTATTGAGCTAATTTATCTAAAAAAAATTATCAGTTACTTGATGTTTTCATGTCTAATTGTTCGCTAAACTTTATATTGCATACAATAATAGTACATATTAATTACTTATAATCAGCGAATGACTGATAAACATTACTTAATCAATTAATAAATTTTATTATTTTTTAAATTGCATTGCCTTATGACATACTCCAAAAAATATTAAAGTCAAAAGCACAAAATAAAATAAAATAGTTTATTCAAATCACTGAAAGATTCTGCATTGCACTCATTTATGTTAATTTAATTAAAATTGATTTTTATTACTTTTAAGAAAACATAAATTTCATGGTATCGTGTATAAATAACTAATGGTCCACGAAAATATAATAACAAAAACTATGTGTTTAAACTTTTTGAACTATTTACCAACCTTCTAATGCTCGTTTTATCAATTTGGATCTTATTTGGCAATTAGCATTGAAGGGCGACAACTTTAAATGAACACGAGTGACTAACAATAATTACATTAACATAATTTAAAAACAAAAAAAAAACATTGATAAACTACAAGTACGGCAATAACTATAAGTTTCCTTTTTATGTTTATATTCATTTTGTTTAAATTGTAAAGGATACTAGAAAACAATTTGATGAGAATTATTGTGATGTTGGCAGATTTATAAGAAAAACTTTTTTGTTTTCTTATTTTTCCCCTTTCCTCATTTATTCATGCCCAATTCGTGCAATTCTTGATCTTCATCTACGCTGTCTTCGTCATCCGAACCATGAACCGAAGGAGCTGGAGTTGTGTGACGTGACGAAGATGGTGAAGGGGGTGCACTTACTGGTCGTGTATAATAATTAAAACTGTTTGCACGACTGTAGACACTTTCACCAATTTCGTCAATATAGTCTGTATAGACTGTTTGCAATGCCTTAACTCGAGCATGACGATAGTACTGCAATTTGGAATTATATAAAAAAAAACAGTAATTAATTAATTTATTTCAGCATGATAGAACAGTTTGATTTAGCCTTACGATTCCTAGATTCTTCCAGTCAAGCAAATCACTTAAACGCTCAGTTCTGTTACGCATAATAATACGCTGACGACGATTAAGTTTGGAGAAATCAAACATAAATTGTGCCAATTGTTGAATCGAGTTTTCTAATCCAATAAATCTTCTATCGACGATGTAAATTCCGTAAGATTTAGGATCAGTAATGTGCTCATGCATAAAACAACCAAAGCCTGATAAATTTGTTGTTACACTAGGAATACCCATTACTGTACATTCAGCTGGCGTGTAGCCCCAAGGCTCATAGTATGAGGGAAAAACTCCTAATTGTGTTAAATTATTAAGTCAGTATCTATTAACCATGTAATTAAGCACTGCTTACCTAAATGACATCCACGAACAAACTCTTCGTATTCCAAACCGAATAGTGGATTTGTAGAATTCAAAAACTCTGGATGAAAGACAATTTTAACGCGATCGTTGACTGTATTGAAAAGATTACAGCGACGAATCCTGTTGAATAATCGAAATATCATTAGACTTGATTATTTCCATAATTATAAATAATCATTCAAAGAGGTTGATATTTAAATAAATAAAGAAGAAAAATCGCAGACGATAAGGAAGTGTAAATTCATTGACAGATCAGAATTGAAAATAAACAGATCGTAAAGTATTGTTGCTTTTTTGCAACAGATGAACTTGACTCCTTTTGGCTCATAGCCACAAAATTAATTAAAATAATGTTAATTTTCTTACGAATTCAAGACAGGATCATTCCAATCGTCAACAATATTATGAGTAGTCACAGGTGGCATGCCTTGCCGTTGAAGAGAATAAAGACAGCGCTTTATTTTAACAACATCTTCTTTTGTGAGCAACTGATTGCTATCTGGTAGACGTCCACTATATAGGTTTATATAAAAATTATGTTTCTAGTTAAGAAAATTGATAAAGAAGATAATAAGACGTGACTCACGCTAAACATGTATCGTACATGCGTTTGCCAATTTGTTGTTGAATATTGTTAATTGTATCACGCAATTGCTTAGTAACTGCATGACCACGAAGTGATTCTACGTTAAAGTTATTTGTTTTTGCAGGGAAAATTAAAAATGCAACAACTGTTGTATCAGGCATTGATGACTATTAGTTAGAATAGAAAAATACGATTAGCTTTTCATTCAATTATGTCCTAATTAACAAGCTTATCAGTCACCTTGAGATGATGGTTTAAACGAGCAAGTGCCTCAATGAAAATATCAGCACCCTTATTACTAAATTCATAACGTCCAGCGATGAAAAAGTAAAGTGTCTTATCCAAATTGAAGTCAAAATGCCCAAAAAAGTGACCACGAACGAATTCGTGAATTTTGTCTTTTGCCATAGCATGCAAGTTTTGGAACTCGTGAATAGCTGAGAATTTTTTCACATTCAAACCATTTGGAGTAATGAAATCAGGACGTCTTTTCAAAAGATGCTCAGCTTCATAGCCTGTAATTTCTGAGACAGTTGTAAACACGTGTGACAAATGAGCACCTCCACGTTCTAAGCAGTATCTGCAACGAGATGTTTTTTTTTTTGTTTTGTTATTGTAAATAAAATTGTTTTGAAAGGAAAAATAAAAAAAAAAAATATAAGAAAGGCTAACAATAACACAATACAATATTGTCTGATTATAGAACAAGTCTGATAGTTTAGTAATAATGAAAAGAAATATCAGAAAATATCACATACCGATGATAAATCTGGCGTTTTCCTGCTTCTTCATCAACAGAGAATTTGTCCAGATTATTATAAAAGTCGGTGTTGCCAGCGCACAAATATCGTCCAAGTAAAGTAGCATGAGTCGTAAATACAGTCGCTACATCAATTTGTCGAGTGCGGATTGCAATCAAACCAACGCCAGCTTGCCACTCATGAAAATGAGCTACAATTTTTGGCTCAGAGAGACCGTGATCTCGCGAGAATTTTTCAGCAGCAACTTTAAATTCACCAATGAAATGTGCAATCATGTAGCCAAGTATAACAGCATCATTACATTCAATGTCCAAATGTGGAATTCCAATATTACACTTTTGCCATAATTCTTGTCTAAATTCATCCAATTTCCATGCTGCTGATCCAATATCGAATAAGATAATTTGTGGATTTCCATCGACAAGCCAGCGCCCACAATGAATCTTATAGCCAACAGTTCTCATTGCATTCACAGCCCATTGAAATGGTGAATTATTAGGGAACTCGCACTATAAGATTAGATAAACTTAAATTTTTAATTGTTGCAAAAATATGTTTGAGACTTACCTCTTCAACTTCTTGTCGAGCACTTTCTTCTTTATATGGTCCCATCAAGCAGTATTGATCTCCAAGCTCTTCAGTTGATACAAATGCTTTTGATCTGATGACAGTGTAAATACCACCGACCTTGTTTGCCGCTTCCCATGCTACCTCAAATGTAAACCGATTCTCTGACGACGCAGTGTGACCACGATCAAGAAAATCCAATAAATCAGCGCCAGACTCAACACGTGAAATGCGGCGACTCATTTTGATAACTTAATATTGTTATTTTTAATACAAATTGCTTTTGATTTCCACTGACTGCTGATGCTAGTTGTGACGATCTATGACGTGCAAAAAAGAAAACAAAACAAATATAAAATTAAAGATCTGAATTCACGTACTCAGTGTAACAACACTTAAACTTAATAATGAAAACAAAAGCGTCTGGTAGTAATTCATTGTACGATAAAGTGAAATTTCATTGACCCTGACCTACGAAGAATAAGCAGTAATGACAGTGAAAATCAAGATCTTGCGATATAATTAACCGAGATGATTAGGAAGCTAATTATTACAATATTAAATTTATTCGGTTTTATTTATAGAATGTCAAATTATTCTCTTGACATTATCTATGATGGAGAACAACTATAAAAAGTGGGAGTATTATGTTACCGGCATTAGAAATTCTTCTTAATTTTATTTCCAAGGGCTATTAAAGGTTATTCAGTTTAATATTGTATTGCATTTTACAGTCAGACGGGATAAAGAAATAGAAGACGAGTGTAGGAAGTACTTTTTCATAAGTGCGATGCCGAATTTTAACAACTTTAATCGCACTTCAATTCACTTTCATTTTTCTCAAAAAAAAAACTTTTTAATGCGACATCACAAGAAATATGAAAAAAATGTCTGCGAGACTATTAAATAATCTTAATGTGTGCAACCTTTCAATATCAGGCAGATGAAAGAAATTAGTATATGAATTAAAGAGAAGATTATGCAGGCTACGAGATATTTTTTACATTCACTTTTTGTCACTTATTCAGCGTTCTTACATTTATAAAACCGGTTGTAGTTGAAAGAACTTTAGTTGCACGCACTATAAGCATGAATCTTTTTAAATCCACTACTAATGATTATATTTTAAGACAACATATTCTGAGGAAATTCTAAAAAGGTCATGACAAGGACATACTTACTAAAAATATTGTCTTATAAGAATTTTTGTATGAAAACTATTGTTTAATAATATGACAATATGTTTATTTTGTGCACTTTTATTTAATTATTGTATCAAGTTTAATTAATCTGCTTATTATTCTACACTTTAAAGTTAAAATACTTTTTATTTTAAGAATTTATGTACGAGTTCTCCGACAGAACAAACACAAATAACCAATTTTCATAGCAATTTGATTTATTCGTAAACCCTGAAACATTTGTAAGGTCTACAAAAATTCAATTTTTTTGCGTACGTTATTATCACGAACTCGTTTTTAATGTTTTTATATTCACACCATTTTCACGTGTGAATCTTTTGGTTTTGTTCAGAATGAAAAATCAGTTTTTCGCATTTTGCGAGGAAATGGAGCAAGCTCGCTTAAAATGTTCAAAGATGAAATGTTTGTGCCTGAAATTTCACATCTTCTGCAAGAAACAGATTTTAAATTGGTTGAGGCATTACTAAGAAAATCGCAAAATACGCTTTCTGTAAGCAAGTTAATCAGCAAGAAATCTCAATAACGAGACATCGTAGAGACTTCTAGTTTTTTACATTTGATCCGTGCTGCTCTATAGAAGAGCTGTATTGTTTTTGTGCAAGGTAGGAACAGCCGTTGCTCCAGAAAAAGCAAAAAACTTTCCTTTCTTACGAATTTTTCAAAACCAAAGTTCACTGTGATTTTTAAAAAATTACAAAAGTCCTCGTGTTATTGATCGAGGGACTTCAGCGCATTTTTGACGAAGCGATCAGTATTTGTTTATAGTATAATTAATTGAGTAAACTCATGAGCATACTCAAATGAGAAGGCAACATGCCACACGCAACATTTTTTAATGCAACATTTTTTATTGAATATACTTATGAACATTCTCAAAGAGCATATACTCATAAACATACTCAAAGAGCTTATACTCATGAAGATACTCAAAAGATATATGGGAGATTCTTTGGATGAGTGGAATTTTAAAAAAACAATTGCAATTCTTCTTTTACTTGAAATTTCAAAATTCATAAAACCGTTACATTTTCTGTTTACAAGTTTAAGTAAATAAAAACTAAATCAACCAATTTTACACAATTTTAAGGAAAAAAGGGTAAAATATCATGAAAAATAAACAAAACTTTGTTTAAAAATTGTATGACTTTTTAGAAACACAGGATAATATGGACATTTACAGACAAACGTGGTGTGCATTATAGAGTACTAAGTGGCCTTTATGATGTTTACACAGCTGCAGACTTTGTTCAATGTGCTAATTCTTTTGAAAAAAAAATTACAGTTTTTGAAGTAGATCAAAAAGAAGTCACTGATGAATTCCTATGCTTGAGAAGCGATGGAAAAATTATAAAATTATTCCTGGAACACTTGATTTTCATTTTTTTATGCCTTCGGAGAAAGAAGGATACATCTGTGCTGCTAATTCGTCATTACTAGATGGCTTGAAAGAAATCAAGTTTGTTAAGAAGACCAAAAAGGTTTAATAAAATTCTTTTTTCTTGAACATAAATTTAACGGTTTTTATGATTTTGATTTTGTACCGGTTTTTAAAAATTCAAATTATTTGAAGCGCTTTGAAATAACTCGTTGACATGAATAATTTGTCAAAGAATTAAAAAATCTCGTTAATTAAACTACAATGACGAGAATTAACGTAGTGAGCAGGTAGAATGAGGTGAATTTTATCATCTGGTCCTTATTTTTTGGGCAAAAACTCAATAGTTTTCTTTATTTTTTGATTCTTTGGATGCAAGTTCCATTTTTTGTCAACGAGTTATTGACAAAGAATCCAAATAACTTAATTAATGTATAATTTTACCATGCAGAATTAAAACAATTTGATAGATTTTGACCTAATGTACTAGCCAAAACAATAAAATGAGAGTCGGTAGAAGAAAAATTTAACAAAAAATTGATTCTTTGAAAAAAAATTCCAAAAACTCATCCAAAGAATCTCCCATATGCTCAGTGAGTTTATTAATGAGCAGGGGCGTAGCCAGAAAATTTTTAAGGGGGGGGCCCAGTTTCAAAAATTAAAAAACCGTTATTTTGTATCCTTAAATCTGTATTCATTCTTCATAGTTTAAATATTTAATTCACTATTCATACATTAAATTTAATTTTTCGTGCTGATTTTGACATTTCTTTCATCACTTCTTCTCTATAAATACTTAATAAAACAATTATCAGATTTTCGTAGGGGGGGCCCGGGCCCCCTATGGCCCCCCCCTGGCTACGCCCCTGTTAATGAGTATATGCTCATCTGAGCACATGCATGTGTGCAATCAGTTAAAGTTACAAAATTCAAAAAATTAATTAAGCTAAATTTGTTTTTTATAAGGATAATTCTATGAATAGTTTCTGAAGAGTTAGAAATTATTATTAACATTTTATCTCAAATACTTAAGAAGCAAGTTTTAAAAACCGGTCACCCATTCTTGTAGAAAAACCTATTGCGTTGTTGAACTTCTGTCACCTCACACTTTTCCTTGGAGCAATTTTTGAAAATGTCGACTAATAAAAAAATGTATTCGATGTTCGATTTTAAGTTGGTCGACGTTTTTGAAAATGTCATATAGATATAATTATGTTAATTATATGCTCATGAGTATGTTAAAAAAGTGTATTCAGAAGAGTAAATATCCATGAGTATGTTCTTAATATTCTCATGAGAATGTTCAGTAAGTGCACTCATATGAGAACGTAAAAAAATTATGTCACCCAGAAGTGAGTATGTTCTTAATATTCTTATGAGAATGTTCAGTAAGTGCACTCATGTGAGAACGTAAAAAAATTATGTCACACAGAAGTGAGTATGTTCTTAATATTCTCATGAGTACATTCGTTGAATGTACTCACGTGAGCTTATAAATTTTTTGCAAAAAAATAAAGTGAGTACATTCGTAATGAACTCCTAAGCAGTGTTGCAAATGTAGATGTCTACACTAGATGAAGAATGTAGATTCTTCAATAGTTTTTGTCTAGCTAAGAAACTTTCTTCATAAAGATCGATTCTACATGTAGAAAGAAAAAAACCATCTACATGTAGATTGTGTCTACATGTAGAATCTGTCTACATGTAGATTCGATGTAGATGTCTATAATTCTACATTTTTTTCCAGGTCTACATCAGAGAAGAATGTAGAATCGTAGACATCTACATTAAATCTACATGTAGACAGTTTCTACATGTAGACACAATCTACATGTAGATGGTTTTTTTCTTTCTACATGTAGAATCGATTTTATGAAGAAATTTCTGTCTCAGAATTTATCTGATCCAGACAAATAGCCAGAATGCAACACTGCTCCTAAGCATGCTCAGTTGAATGAGCTTGCATGAGTATAATTTTTGAGTAGACTCACTTATATGCTCACTTTTCTGAGCATGCTCTTTGTATGTTCGGGAATGCGCTAAAAATTGCTGATTCGCTAGCTTAATACCTTCAAACTTATGCTGAGCGAAACTCAGCTGACCCTCTAGCTTTCTACCTTTAAACATATGCTGAGCGAAGCTCAGATGACTCGCTAGATTTAAACCTTCAAACTTATGCTGAGCGAAGCTCTACTGACTCGCTAGCTTTATACCTTCAAACTTATGCTGAGCGAAGCTCAGGTCAAGTCAACTCTGAACTTTGTTCGTAAACATTTTGTTCTGCGGAATTAAACTCAAGTAAAACAAAAAGCCGTAAAAACGTTAATCAAAAGTGAAAATTTTATCAAATCAGGACCAAAAATCAATACAAGACGTGAATCAATTTGTGGTTCACATCATAAATTCCGAAAAATTGGCAAGAAACTAAATTTTTATCAATAGCAAAACATTTTAAATAATTTCAGCTTTCAGACATCTCTTCCTCCCTCTCATAATGTAAATGATGACTTTCCCTAATAGGCAAAGAGCATGCTCACAAATTTGAGCACATGCGAGAGCATACTCAATTATAGAAATTTATGTGCTCAAATGAACATACTCTCATGAGTACATAATGAGTACAAAAACGTAGTATACTCACTTGAGTACATTCATTGAGTACGCTCTCTAACATACTCTAAGTACATCAACATGATACAAAAATTTTCTTTATTTGCTCTCTTGAGTATACTTATTGAGTATGTCCTCTCTCACATTGTGAGTATGACAAATGTGAGTGTAATTTTAAAGACAGTATACTCTCGTCAGTATACTCTTCAAGTGTACTCAAGAGCATATTCAGAGCATATCTTTCTGATAATTCACATCTAAATACATTATGCTCATCTGAGTACACTTTCTGAGTGCACTCTCAAATGTACTCTGATCACGTCTTTGTAATAAGTTTATGTAAGAAACATTATGCTCATCTGAGTACACTTTCTGAGTGCACTCTCAAATGTACTCTGAGCACGTCTTTGTAATAAGTTTATGTAAGAAACATTATGGTCATCTGAGTACACTTTCTGAGTACACTTTCTGAGTGCACTCTCAAATGTACTCTGATCACGTCTTTGTAATAAGTTTATGTAAGAAACATAATGCTCATCTGAGTACACTTTCTGAGTGCACTCTCAAATGTACTCTGATCACGTCTTTGTAATAAGTTTATGTAAGAAACATTATGCTCATCTGAGTACACTTTTTGAGTGCACTCTCAAATGTACTCTGAGCATGTCTTTGTAATAAGTTTATGTAAGAAACATTATGCTCACCTGAGTACACTTTCTGAGTGCACTCTCAAATATACTCTAAGCACGTTTTATTAACATGTCACATCCAATTGGATTATACTTAAATTCTCACACTTAACAAATATATACTTACAAGAATCTCTAGGTTTAATTTAAAAATACTTTATAAAAAAAAACTTTTTAAAAAACCACGTTTTTACCCGTAGACTAAAAAGTAGAAAATAACTTTTATATTGGGTTCAAAGGATATTGGTTTGAAAATTTGAGATTGATTTGAAAGTTTCATACTTAAGTCATGACCATACATGAATTGCAAATTTGTTCACTTCGACCATATCGTATAGTTCTCATCTTAAAACGTGGGCGCATTTATACCAAATTTAAGCTTTCCAAATATATACACCATTAATGCGCCCACGTTTTAAGATGTAGAACTATACGATATGGTCGAAGTGAACAAATTTGCAATTCATGTATGGTCATGACTTTAGTATGAAACTTTCAAATCAATCTCAATTTTTCAAACCAATGTCCTTTGAACCCAATAAAAAAGTAATTTTCTACTTTTTAGTCCACGGGTAAAAACGTAGTTTTTTTTTTTTTTTTGTATTTATTTTCTACTTTTTAGTTTTAAAAAATTATTTAAAGTATCTATCAATCAGCTGTGCTATCGCACAGCATAAATTTGTAAACTAGAATTTAACCATAGAAAGTCTTCATTGATCAGCTGTGCTTTAGCAGACTCAAAGAATAAGACTCAAAGAAATGTAACTTAAACTACAATAATTCCAAATTTGAAATAAAGAAAGATTGTTATTGTAAACTAGAATTGAACCATAGAAAGTCGTTTAACGTATTTTTTGTGTTTCAAACTTATAACGGCTTTTTGAAATTTATAATAATTGAAAGTTGTACATATGTTATGTAAAAATAAGCTAAGCCTTAAAATGGAGAAAATTTAATTTAATTGTACTATAATTAAGCATTTTTGAGTTTCCAAAACGCTTGAATATTGTATTGTCACCGGAAAAATAAGTGCATGCAAAATTTCAGCTCGATTGGAGCAGAAGAAGTGGTAGAAAAATTGATCGCAAAATTTGACCAAGACAAGCAGAAAGACAGAAAGACAAGAAAGCAAGTTAAGAAAAACGTGGTAATAAAAAAACTTTTTAAAAAACTACGTTTTTCGCGTAGACTAAAAAGTAGAAAATAACTTTTATTCTTGGTTGTAAAGAATTTGGTTTTAAATTTTCAGATTATATTTAATAAATTTTTATATCCTAGTCAATATTGTTCACAAAGTTTCGAATAAGTGCATTTTGATCTTATCGTATAACTCAACAACTTAAAAACGTGGGCGCATTAATTTAAGTTTATCATAAAGTATTGATTTCACATAAACTTATTTCTCCTCTTATAATGCGCCCACGTTTTTAAGTTGTTGAGTTATACGATAAGATCAAAGTGCACTTATTCGAAACTTTGTGAACAATATTGACTAGGATATAAAAATTTATTAAATATAATCTGAAAATTTAAAACCAAATTCTTTACAACCAAGAATAAAAGTTATTTTCTACTTTTTAGTCTACGCGAAAAACGTAGTTTTTTAAAAAGTTTTTTTTTATAAAGTATTTTATTTTCTACTTTTTAGTCTTATTCTAATGAAATAGAGAAATAAAGATTATAGGGGGTTTATAGGTTACAGGTGTGTTGAACTCCACTTCGTTGCACTTCGTTACGTTCAACTGTTTATAGATTAGAGTAGGTTTATAGGTTCCAGGTGTGTTGAACTTCACTTCGTTGCACTTCGTTACGTTCAACTGTTTATAGATCACAGGAGGTTTATAGGTTACAGGTGTGTTGAACTTCACTTCGTTGCACTTCGTTACGTTCAACTGTTTATAGATTACAGTAGGTTCATAGGTTACAGGTGTGTTGAACTCCACTTCGTTGCACTTCGTTACGTTCAACTGTTTATAGATTAGAGTAGGTTTATAGGTTACAGGTGTGTTGAACTTCACTTCGTTGCACTTCGTTACGTTCAACTGTTTATAGATTACAGTAGGTTTATAGGTTACAGGTGTGTTGAACTTCACTTCGTTGCACTTCGTTACGTTCAACTGTTTATAGATTACAGTAGGATCATAGGTTACAGGTGTGTTGAACTCCACTTCATTGCGCTTCGTTACGTTCAACTGTTTATAGATTAGAGTAGGTTTATAGGTTACAGGTGTGTTGAACTTCACTTCGTTGCACTTCGTTACGTTCAACTGTTTATAGATTAGAGTAGGTTTATAGGTTACAGGTGTGTTGAACTTCACTTCGTTGCACTTCGTTACGTTCAACTGTTTATAGATCACAGTAGGTTTATAGGTTACAGGTGTGTTGAACTTCACTTCGTTACGTTCAACTGTTTATAGATTACATTAGGTTTATAGGTTACAGGTGTGTTGAACTTCACTTCGCTGCACTTCGTTACGTTCAACTGTTTATAGATTACAGTAGGTTTATAGGTTACAGGTGTGTTGAACTTCACTTCGTTGCACTTCGTTACGTTCAACTGTTTATAGATTACAGTAGGTTTATAGGTTACAGGTGTGTTGAACTTCACTTCGTTGCACTTCGTTACGTTCAACTGTTTATAGATTAGAGTAGGTTTATAGGTTACAGGTGTGTTGAACTTCACTTCGTTGCACTTCGTTACGTTCATCTGTTTATAGATTAGAGTAGGTTTATAGATTACAGGTGTGTTGAACTTCACTTCGTTGCACTTCGTTACGTTCAACTGTTTATAGATCACAGTAGGTTTATAGGTTACAGGTGTGTTGAACTTCACTTCGTTGCACTTCGTTACGTTCAACTGTTTATAGATTACATTAGGTTTATAGGTTACAGGTGTGTTGAATTTCACTTCGCTGCACTTCGTTACGTTCAACTGTTTATAGATTACAGTAGGTTTATAGGTTACAGGTGTGTTGAACTTCACTTCGTTGCACTTCGTTACGTTCAACTGTTTATAGATTACAGTAGGTTCATAGGTTACAGGTGTGTTGAACTCCACTTCGTTGCACTTCGTTACGTTCATCTGTTTATAGATTAGAGTAGGTTTATAGGTTACAGGTGTGTTGAACTTCACTTCGTTGCACTTCGTTACGTTCAACTGTTTATAGATCACAGTAGGTTTATAGGTTACAGGTGTGTTGAACTTCACTTCGTTGCACTTCGTTACGTTCAACTGTTTATAGATTACATTAGGTTTATAGGTTACAGGTGTGTTGAACTTCACTTCGTTGCGTTCAACTGTTTATAAATTACCAGTTTTCAATGGGAAATTAGTAACGACTTTCAAAATTTTTCATTCGTTTTATAAAATTTAATTTTTTTAAAGCATTCATTAGTAAAGTACATTAAAAATCACTCGTAAAGATTTTGTGTTTATCCGAACCATTCCTACTACATAACGTGTGGATTCTTAACATAAAGATGCAAATCAAATCTATATGTAACGTATTTATAACGGATTTTCAAATTTAAATTCAATGAATATCATTTATATGTTATGCAAAAATACGTCAAACCGTTAATAAAAAGAAAAGTCAATTTAATTAAGTTGGTGAAGTGTTATAAATAATGCAATACATTTAAAACAGCATAAATTTATGCTCAAACTATGTGTGCTGAATGCACATCGCATATTAAGGGCGATTCCATGAGTGATTTTTTTTTTCTCAACTCAATTTTTTGTAAATATTTCCTTAATTAACTTCATTTAACGCCATTGTTGTGTTACAAATCTATGATAAACACACGTGAAATCGTCTGTGCTTTATAACAATATCTTATTTGTATGTCTTTCTACTGTAATTAAGGAGAAAATTGGGGAAAACACCACTTAATCGGTCAACTTTCAACCGATTATTGCAAAACATATTACATATTTTTGTCAAAATGCAGCATAATTAAGACGATTAAATGCTAATAACACATGAATTGATGAATAATAAGTCTTATTTAGTGAAAAGATATGTTGAAATATGTATATTTAAGCAGAAAAAGCTAAAAAAGTTTTTGAAAAAAAAAATTTCAGTTTCATTTACCCATGGAATCGCCCTTAATAGTTATTTTGCATTAATTCGTAACGGACTTGTGCTTAACGGTTTTTTTGAAAATTCAAATTTTCACTTACGAATATTCATGAAAAAATTACATGTCAATTTTTTTGTCTTACCAGAATATCTTTAGCTGCTCAAATTTATGGTATAATTAATAATTAGTAATATTAATTAAACTATAATGAATCATATAAATGACTTTAGAGCATCACAAGTATAATATTTAATACAAATCAAAATTTTATATCATTGACATTGGATTTTTTCCCATATAAAAAAGTTTTACATAAATTGTACTATAATTAAGCATTTTTGTGTTTCCAAAGTGTTAAAATATTGTATTGTCACCGGGAATACATGTGCATTAAAAATTTGAGCTCGATTGGAGCAGTAGAAGTGGTCGAAAAATTGATCGCAAGATTTGAAATTTTTTGCAAACAAACAAACAAACAAACAAACAAACAAGAAAGCAAGTTAAGAAAAACGTAGTAAAAAAAGGACGCATTAATTATGTAAAATAATAATAAAAAAAAAGTTTCAAAAAATAATAATTTTTATTTATTACGTCTTTTAAAGCACACTCAAAGTATACTCTTTTGAGTACATCAATAGTTAGATTAAGATGTACTTTTATGAGTATATTAAAAGTATGTCAAAAAAAGTATGCTCATTTGAGCATAAAGTATGTCACATGTGCCATGACACATAAAAAAATGTTTTATTTCAAGAGTGTGCTCAAAGTATAACTGAGTGAGTATGCTCTGGTGAGTACACTTTTAGGCGTAAAGTAGTGGCACAAACTTTTGTATGAAAGAGCATACTTTTTAGAGTACACTCAGCAAAAATTAGAGTGTGCTCTTTCTGTGTTTTTTGCCAATTAGGGTTTCTATGGTAAAAGTCTAGTCTACAAACTTATGCTGTGCGAAGCACAGCTGATCGATGAAGACTTTCAATGGTTTGATTCTAGTTTACAAACTAATGCTGTGCGACAGCACAGCTGATCGATGAAGACTTTCTATGGTAAGAGTCTAGTTTTACTTTTCTTTACCTGTCTGTTTAACTTTTACCTGTCTAATATATATTATGACAGAGATTGTTTTTATTTTATAATCTCAAATACAATCTTATATTTTTGTTATCTATAAGTAATTTAAATAGATAAATTTCACGAATTTAAATAAAAAATTACAAAAGTCCTCGTGTTATTGATCGAGGGACTTCAGCGCATTTTTGACGAAGCGATCAGTATTTGATTATAATTAATAATTTGCTGCAATGAATTTCCATATAGAAAAAGTTTATCATTTAACGGTTTTTTAAAATTTAAAATTTTACAACGGCTAGAAAAAATTTGAAATTATAGAGGTAAATTTGAATTTATAGAGGTAAAACAAAATTTGAGCAGGTTACACTGAAAACAAAACAAAAACTCATTAATTATAGCATAAATACACTGCTTGAAGACTTTTAACTGTTCGATCGGACAATAAACAATAGTAACGGAGCTAATAAAACAAATCCGAGCTCTCTACGATGTCTGGTTGCAAAGTTTTTATGCTTGCCCGAACGAACGAACGAACGAACGAACGAACAAAGTGTATTATTGAGCTCCCTTTTCGAAAACAAGTTTTCAAAAATGCGCTAAAAATATCTTCATATAACTAGTTGGAAATAGGGTTAAAAAAATATGTAAATTGATGCAAAATTGAGACAAAAAATTTAAAGAGCCGGAGCTACAAAAAAGTCTTGTCAGATTTTCTTTTTTCGCACCAATTTCAATATGCACTATACACATATCTTCTACCCTATAAGAAGAGACAATTTTTCGAAACATTTAAATAAGCATTTTAAGTAAAACTTTCAATGTGTGCAGGTACAGGTTAGAATACATGGAACTGCCAAAGGTCCAAAACAAAAGGTTTGACTTAAATAATTCCATCAGATTAAAACTGCTGAGGAAAAGTAGACGTGTTTTGATATATAACATCATAGGATTTGGGCAAAAAAATATTGGCCCACAAGTAGTACTGTCCAAAACTTTGACAGTCCATAACTCTTGCTGGTTATATCCGATTCCAAAAAATATTGCAGGACGCAATTGGAGGTAATTAAGAGATCAATTTTGATGTATAATATGTTTAATAAAGTTGATATTTGGAAATGAGGCCGTTTTAAAACCTAAAGTACGACGGCATAATTCCCAAAAATGGAACCTGCTATATCCAGCTACAGGAAGTAGGACACAATTATTTTTTTGCTGGACGTAATGTGGACTTAATTCTGGCAAAGTTTCAAAGTGATTGGACACTTCATGCCGTCGTACTTCAGTCACACAATAAAACATTAGTATGTTTTGTATGGCAATATTTAATGTTATTTTGATGATAAATGTGAAAAATAGATGAAAGTGGAATAGAAGACTAAAACTAAATAGAAATAGATACGAAAATCATTAAAAAAACATTAAAAATTTTTAGACGTCATTTACTGATAAACCCCAAGCATGTTATATATCATTTCAAAGGAAATGAAAAGCTTTTTTAAATGCAATAAGAATTTTTTCCGTATCTGAAAGATTAATATCAAATAAAGGTAAAATAGTGTTCAAAACGTTTTAAGGTTTTATCATTTTTCGACAAAACTTATTCACAAATCCCACTTATCATTAATGTTCATTATTATTATTAAGGTATATATTTTTAAGGTATATATCGTTATTGTATCAAATGTAGTTGCTGAGAAATAAGCTGTCATAGTTTCGACAAAAATGGCTTATAAATGACGTCACAGATCGATAATCAAAAATCTAGCTCCAACAAGTTGTGAGCATTTTTAAAGAATTACAACTCATTTTTGATAAATTCCAATCATCCATCGAATTGCCCACATGTACAGACGAATGTAGAATTGTAGACATCTACATTAAATCTACATGGAGACAGATTTTACATGATGATATATATGCTGTTCTGACTATTTAAGAACTTTTACATCATTATTGAGTAATATTTTCGTGACTTTTTAAATTTCTTTTTCGACTTTTTTGTAAACAAACAAATTTTAACCGAAAAAAACAAACCGTTAAAATTTTTTTAACTTAATTTTGTCCATTTAAGTATGTTATCGCATGTTACGGATACGTCGAAAAACCATTATTTTTTGGTTTGAATATAAAAAAACCGTTAAATTTTCATAATATTTCTTGCAAAAACAAGGTTTGAGCAAACTATTCTTATCCTTAGCTTCTTGTTTAACTCAGTTTAGCTTAAATAACTCAAGAAAATTACTAGATTCGAACATGTCGACTTTTTTCGATACTGAAATGTCCGGAGCATGTGTTAACGCAATAATTTTAAACTTTTTATGAACTCAAACAGAACAGATTGAAATTTCTGATCCTTAAAAAACTACATTCGATGATGTTTCAATGAAAACTGACAAAGTTATGGAAAATTTCCCAAAAATTACGCGTGATTGACGCTTTATTAAAGTTATATTCTATAGCAGTAGTGAAGTGAGGAAGTGAGTTGTATATCCAAAGATAGGTATTTGGAATAACTTTAGAATGTGTTACTATTGAGGTTGCAGAGATATTTAAGGAAACCATAGCGACACTCATTCGTAATTTTTTCTTCTGTCTTTAAAAAATATCCAATTGCTGATTTCTTAATACTGCAAGTTTCTCGAACAAGTTGTACTTCTATTCATGTTTCAAATTAAATAAAATAGCATAGGTAAGTCATTTTTTTTTCAACGTGCGAATTATCAATCAATTCACATTGATTAATAAAATGTTATCAGTATGAAAACAGAAAATTTATATTGCTGAACACTAAACCAGAAAACAGAAATAAACAATTGTCAAACACATTACTGAAGCATTTTGCTTCAAGTATGCAATAAAATTGGACTATCAAAAAATTAAATTTTGTTTCTAGTGCTTTATGATGATTACTTTTTTATGTAAGCATACAGAAATATGTGGACTGAAGCACATTATTTATTATAAATACTATCCCAATTCCAATGAATTCCTCCTTTTTGGTCATTCTACTCGTGCATGATCCGGGATTTTCGCTAACATCGACAACATATGGTACTATTGATTAATTGGTAAAAAAACAGGGGATTGAACATAAGTTTATTGATGTTAAATGACTTTTTATTATAACTCTTATCGGTGTCCATGCAGTCAGTC